GCCTTGGCGCCCCCCTTTCACCCTCTGGACATTCACTGGAAAGCCACGGCAACTAACGCTTGATCCATAATGCCTTCCTTTAAAAAAAGGCATAATGGCTTCTTTGAAAAGCCATATGTTTCATGCTCTGTCCACAGGGTTTGAAAACAGAAAAGGAGAGAATTAGAGAAGGAGAGAAAGGGATTGATACATTTCCTTCCCATTTTAACAACCAAATCAAATATACTTTCCATTTTAAATCAGCTTACTGCGGCCCAGCCTGCGCTTGAACGCTGGTCACCCAAGGCCTCCGGCAAGGAAATGGCAGGAGTCTAGGTCCCAAGGCCAGAGGGCGGCACGGAGACAGGACAGGGGAGCTTGTATTCCCTGCCTGTGTAACCTTGCGCAGCCTGTCCGGGGTGAGCAGCACATGCTCTTCCTTCAGGAGCTGCCCCGCGCCCAGCTCACACTCAGGCAGATGAGGGCCCCAGAGGCTGCGTCTCCTCATACTCCAGCCCCACCGTGTGGCAGGGCCGTCATAAGGCCAGCAGGCCCAGAAGTACACAGTCAGCCTACCCTTGTACAGTGTATCGATCTCCACAAATTGGTGGGCATGCAAAGGAAACCTGTGCAGGAAAAACTAAGCAAACGCATTTATACTCAGATGAACTAGCGCTAAGGAAGATTCCCATTTGAACACGTTAATTCTAGACACTGAAAAAATAAAAGATTTCCTTCTTGTCAGAGTTGGTAGGCAAGGGACACTGGATGGGGGTAGGGAGAGGACAGACAGCCTGCCCATCCTTTGAGGCCTGTTTTTTGGGGGTAGTGTGGGGCCAAGGAGAGCAGGGTTCGAAAAGTGTGTCAGCCTTTCTCCTGAGGCATTTGCTTCAAAGAGAAGAGGCAGGGAGTTTGAGAGATTTCCATAGCATTGAGACTGCTATTTCCCAGTTCCCATTTCCTTCCTCCTTAGCAACAGACCCCTGAAATGTCAGCGGAGTAATGGACTGAGCTGAAAAAACTCCATTTCCCAGCTTCCCTTGCAGTAAGGAGTGGCCAGCGAGATGTAAGCAGTTGAGTACAGATTCAAGAAAGCTCTCTCAAGGGGAGCTGAAATATCTAAAAAGTCACCCCTTTGTCTCTTCATTGCTTCCTCTGACTGTGTCTGAACTTGGGTTCAAAGCAGTCACCTTGCAAAATAGGCAACTTTCAGGTGGGAAGCCAGTAGCTGAGGGGTGGCAGAGTAAGAATTCCCCAGTGCTGGTGGAGCTGCTGTCGGGCCTGGGCAGCCACACTTTCGTCTTCTATATGGGAGACAAAAATAGCCTCTGTGTTATTTAAGCCAGAGTTATTTGAACTTCCTACTATGTGTTGCAGAACTATCTTAACTGCAACATTCCACATGGAGTGAGTCAGAGCTGTGGGGCAACAGAACGTGCACATGTAAAAGAACCTGGGCTTGGAGTTTCTAAAATTGGTATTGATGCCCATTTTCCTGCATCCTAAAGCCTCTCGCTACTAGACTTTGGTGTTGGGACATAACCTCATAGTTCTCACTTAAGCCTGGTGCCTGAGTCCTGGAAATGGTAGCACAGGCTAAATTGTGACCTTTGGTTAAAAGACACCAGCTGCTAAGCTCTGATTTACACGTGGCAGAGTAGAAATAGAAATCAAGGCCCTCTTGAGTCACACACAACACGACCGCCCACATTATTGACAGAACAAGAAAGAAAGGAAGGTGAAGGGGGTAGCGAGGTACAAACATCCAATAATAAAATAAATAAGCCACGGGGATGAGAAGTACAGCATAGGGAATATAGTCAATAATATTGGAATAACTTTGTACAGTGACAGCTGATCATCACACTTAATTGTGGTGGGCATTCCATAACATGTATCACCATCACATCCCTATGTTGTACGCCTGAAACTGATATAGTGGGTCAAATATACTTCAATAAAAACAATGGAAACATTAAAATCAAGTGCAGATCTACAAGAATAAAGACATCAAAATTATGAATATAATAATACTTCTGAAATTGGAAAAACAAAAGCAAGGAAAGAGAAAGGCAAGGAGGGAGGATAAACTGCACATACATGTTGTAAGCTAAGCCTCTTTAGGAGGCACCCATTTCTACTTTTTTAGGGAAATCTATATATATCTCAAGAAATAGCTTGAAATTTTAGAAAATAAAAAAAAGCCTAAGTGATACTTGAGTAGTGTGGAAATTCAGAATCCTTTATCTCAAGAGACCAAAAGATTGAGGTCTGTACAAGCCTTCTCTGTCCCCTGGCAAAGTAGCAGAGCAGGGAAGCAGGTGTCACTTCAGGTGCCCCCCAACTGCTCTGCTGGCTCCAGAGCTCAGCTGCCGCCCCTGGCAGGAGGGGCCTGGGGTCCCACGACAGGCTGGGCCAAGGAGGACTTCCCCACCTGATTCCGACCCCAACTCCTCCTGTTCTAAAAACGCTAAGTCTCACGAATGGAAGTTTCTCTGATCCCAGTGAATGACCTAAAGCTGGGCTGCTTCTCCCGCTAAGCCGGGACATAGTTTAAAACTGAGACATTACTGCCCCCTGCTGACTGATTACTGACCAGCCCAGCAGGAGAGGGTGGGCTTCTTTTCACATCTGGACATTGGTCACTGGGCATTGTTGAAAGGGAAGAGGATGCTTTTGCCAAGGTTTGTGGATGAAGCGCAACGCTCTGTGATAAAGCTGTTCGGAAAAATGTTTTATTCAATAGCATATGTTTTGTCCCACTGAGGGAAGATTTTGTCAAAATGCTTCTGAGTTGTTTTCTTTGGGTGGCTTATACTTTGAAGAGTATTTTTGTATATAGCTACCTGATCTTTCCATCCATCCTAAGAGGGAGGGAGTGAGGGCTACCCCCAATGTACAGATGGAAAAACAGAGGCCCAGAGAGGTGAGCTGGCTTCCCTCAGGAAGAGCAAAAGCCTGAACCCCTCTAGGGCGCTTTCCTGTGTATTGGCCTCTGACATAGAGGATTTGGAATTTGGGCAGCAAGCTTATTTATAGACAGCAGAGAAATCCAGTCCCATCACCCCTTACTGCCACCCTCTTCCTTCCTGCTTAGTCTTGAGAGAAGGAGAGTAATTGTTACTGAATATTAGAAAGTTGGGAAACTGAAGTTCAGTGAGCGCCCCGCCAAAGGGCGCATTACCAGCGAGGAGCAGAGGAACTACCACGCGCGCAAAGAGCAGAGATTCTGCTGCAGGAGAATCTGAGACCTACCTTTGTGCTTTAAGCACCGTTCCACGTTAGAAAGGGACCTGGACCCTGACTGACTCTGATGTCCACTCTCAAGGTGCACTGTCCTTTGACCCCAACAATGGATCTCTGTAGACGACCTCAGAGAATATTCCTCCTTCTCCACTACTCCAAAGAATGTTCACCAAGATGACTTTTTCTTGGCAAGGATTATGGGCTTCTCACTGTGTTGGGAATTTCTGCAAGCCCATGACACCTGTGTCCCTGACTCATTTGTTGAGCAACTCCCCAGTCCTTTCTGGGACAAGCTTCTTGTTCTCAACCGCTCTGGCGAGAAGACAGCAGAGTTGTTCTTGAAGACATGCTGTTTGACATAGAACTCCAGGATTTTGAATTCTAGGCTATTTGGGTCGTCATCATCCAGGGGGATCTCCTCCAGGTCACACTCTCTGGTGGTACACATGGCGGGCCTGCAACAACAAAGTCCACATATGTCCTTGTACCTGTGGGCAATCTACCCCTGGGAGTTCAGGAGACACAGGGGTGCAACTCCGTGAACATTCATTGAGCACCTGATTGTCCTTACACGGGAAGGCAAGGGCAGAGCCAGGGTTGTTTCTGAAAGTTCAGTCGTATAGAGATGAGGAAGGGAGACAGGTACATGGGTAGGTCCAAAGAGGGCGACGTAGGTGCTACACCGGAGGTCAGATGGCTGGTGTGGGGAGGAATCAATGGCTGCAAATAGAGAGCAAGCCGAGGCTCCCTGAAAGATTGAAGGATTTAATGGGTGAGTGGGTATCGGAGTTAAGAGCAGGACTGGAAGAAGTTAGATGAAAGGTGAACTTAGGATGTGTTTGAAGAGCAGCTAGAGAAGTGGAATAGCATAAACAGGCATTGTGTAGACAGCTGGGGCTCAGGGAGGTAGTGGGACAACAAGTGAAATGGCAGTCAGGGCCAGATTACGGGGACCTTTGAATGTGGGACTGAAAGCTTTGCATATTCTCTTGTTGCTCTATCAGTACATTTAAAAAGGAGCCTCAAACAGTGGGCAGCAATTAAAAGTCTTCTTGGGAGAGGGTAGGTGGGCCAAGGAGGAAGCGAGCAATGTTTGGGGTCCCTGACCCTTCCTGTTCCCTCTCCCAAACTTTGCCATCTGCTCAAGCTTACAGTTTTGCTTCTGTTTCTTGCCATATTTGGTGTTCCATGCAAGATTTCATCTGAAAAAAAAAATCCTTCTATTTTTGCAAAATTTGAAGAGCATTGTTGGAGGCAATGGAGAGCTTTTCAAAGTTTTGAGTGGGAGGGTGATGTGATCACAGGCATGTTTTGGGAGGATCATTAGGAAAATGATGGGGTAGAAGGACTTCACCTTTATTTCCATATGAATAACTGGATAGATATAATGAACTGACTTTGTCAATTTTAGCTTTCATGAAATAATCCCTTTTCTGGTTTCTTGCTGGGAAATAATTTCTTATTAATAATCTGCCTTGCATTCTTTTGTCATATAGTGAGGACCACGTATTCTTTTTAGTCCCAGAGGCCAGAAAGCCCAGACCTACAGACTGTCACTGGACTAAAATTTCCTAGACAGTGGATATTCTGGAAAACAGTGTGGGCTTCCTGACCTAACCAATGACCAGCTGTATTGGGCAGGTTATTTCACCTCTCTGAACTTGAGCTTCTTGTGGGTAAATTGAAAATATGTTATCTTGGAGGGATATTATGAGGGTATAAGATAATGCATGAGAAATCTCAACACAGAACCTGGCTCAAAAATGGTAGCTACTGTGCTCGCTTCAGCAACACATAACTAAAATTGGAACGATACAGAGATTAGCATGGCCACTGTGCAAGGATGACACGCAAATTTGTGAAGCGTTCCATACCAAAAAAAAAAATAGTAGCTACTATGTTTTTTCTTGTACTACAGACATCGCAGGTCCTCTGAGTCTGTAATTGAGGTGGCTCTTAATTAGGGCTCCTTCCTTTAATGGTCCTATGTTAATACTGTCTTTTGGTATATGTAGGCATATGTTTTTGGCTCATTAGACAGATGTAGTGATATGAATGGGATGGCTGGCATATCCCTCTTTCTCTTTCCACTGTATTCTCTCAAACTAGGACCAACTTAAAAAGAAATGGGACAATCACTGCAGAGAGACTTCGAGCATGACAGGGTACAGCTAAACTGGACTGCATACAGACAAATTGCACTGGGTGTCTGGAGGCCAACGGTCAGGGCTGACTCAGCTTCTAAATTGCAAGGTCCTTGGGCAAGTCACTTAATCTCTTTGGTTCTTGGTTTCCTCCTCATATATTCTCTAACTGTTCCTGAAGGTTCTACTATTTGAAGGAGGGGCTTCCTGTCTCCATGGTTGTTTCCTCTCCTTTATTTGGAAGGGGCTCACGCTGGCTGATACAGAAGCTGTTCACCTGAGGAACGGCTCCCTGGCCAGGCCCCCAGAACGCAGTGGCCCCTGGCTGGGTGAGTTCTGATGGAAGTGCGGCAGGGAGGGGGCTGCAGGGGGCTGGTCCAGAACATCAGGTGCAGATGGAGGGGACTGAACTGGATTTCCCAGTGTCACCTTGGGCAAAAATGCAAAGCCTGAGATACCCACTACGCAAACAGAAATATTTCCATGACTCCTAAGCCCCACAAACCTGCTTCAGGTAAGCGGGTGTAAGCAAACGCTTGAGGGGTACAATGTGAAGTGGGGGTCCTGGCCACTGTGCATCGTCCAGTTTCATCATTTTTCCATCCTATGCCAGGGCTTCGATAACCGTTCTTCCCTCATTTTCTCCCAATTTAACACTCACATCACTCGCCCCAGCAAACCTTGTGCTCGCAGGAGCCACTTCCACTTTGCGGCAAAGCACCTGCGGCCTCCGGCCTTCCCACCTCCGCCCCACCCCCCACGCATGCGCACAGACCCTGGGCCGCGGACTCCCAGGTGTGCAGAGAAGGGGCCCAGGCCAGAGACCAGAGCGGGACTGTGTCAGGCGAGGATTCGGGAGATTTCTAATTCGAAGCTTTCCTTTGATTCGGGCCACTCAGGACACCGTAGGCGGGAAGTGTGCAGGGCGGGGCCGGAACTGCATCCTCGGGTGGGATGCTACGTGCAAAGCTTCTGAAGAAACTCCGTGTAAGTTAAAAGCGAAATAGAGCAGAACAAAAAATGAACGAAAGTTTTCTAATGGAGTGTGAGGACTTTAAAACTGTGTGCGGTGTAGCTGGGGAAGGGAAAGAAATAAGTTTGCCAAATGCTGGTTCAGAAGCAGCCTCGGAAAGGGGAAGATGGCGCACACAGCCCTTCCGCTTTGTGAAACGAGGTTTTTGCCGTTTTATAGGCTACCCAAAACTGAGTAGTCGGTCCAACCAGCAGGCCAGGCCAAGGATGAGTGAGGAGCGGAAAGCTCAGCTGTGCTCAGGCAACAGCTGGGTAAGGAGCCCCCACCTAACGGAGGTGGAGGTGGGTGCTGTGCCCAGGGCCGGGGAAACTGAAGGAATCCATGGGGACATAAATGCATTTAACAAGTGTAGGTTTTTTCCCCCTACAGTCCTTCATTGTAAATGAAAGGAGAGCTATTGTCAAATTTATAGCGAGGTCTTACTATAGAGCAGCAGTGAGCGAGTTTATCATATGTTAGATCCCTTCTGCCATCAGCTATTTCTGTTGAGAATAAACGCCCAACCTGGGGCTTACAGAAACTTCACCAGTAAGTTTTATGCTTGTGGAAAGGAAGTCTTGGGTGGGGCCCCTGAGGGCTGATTCAGAGCCCGGAGGGGAGAATTAGCAGTAGGCTTATTAGAACTATGAGGCTTATTCTAATTTGATGACACAGTGGATGTAACTCTGCTCTTACTACAGTATTTACATACTCTCGCAAACCAGTCACAGCAAGGTTACAGAGCTGCCTTTGCTGGCGGATTTTCCCCTCCTTGAGGGTTCCTTTCCCATCACCCCCTAAATGGACAGAGTCCTTCGGGTCTCCCTGCAGCCTGGGTCTCCCTGGCATCAGCAGAGAAGGTGCTCTTTCCCCAGGTAGCTCAGCTGGGAAGGCCACAACCACGGGGAAGCACCTAAGGTCCCGTTATTTCCAATCACAGTTTTGGGATTTTTCTAGCTCTGGATTGTTTGTTGAAGTTAGATTTCACTTCCCTTCCTGTGGCAGGTCATGGATAAGCATACAGAGGAAACATGTGCTGCTTGGTTCCATGCACAGAACCTGCTACGTACAACTAGGGCCCAAGTAAGCTGGACAGAACTTACTCTCCACTCCATACATGCCGCGTCTACCTGTCCCAGTGAGGGGTGTGTAGGACCCCTTGGCAACAGGCTGTTCAATGGAAGAGATGACTTCCATTGCTCTGGATAGGCAGGTGAGGCCCGAGTGTGACTCGTGAGTATAGACGCTTATCCAAAGGAAGTTTTTCAGGCTAAATTATGAGTTCAATTTTGTCTGGTTGCCTTGAGCCTGCCCTTCAGCATCCTGTACTTCCTTATGCACTTCAGGAGCAGTCTGACCTTTTCCTGGTTCCCTGAACTTAAGACTTTAGTGTCTTCATTTCTTGCCTGTTTGTCATCTCTAAGAATGACACGTTCTTTAATCCTGAGTGAAAAGAGGAATGAAGTAAAATGCCTACTTCCTACCATGAAGCTAAACAGGAGGCGGGGAGAGAGCATGAGCAAGTGCCCGAGGTCATATTAATTAAACCGAAGGACTAAGTCTCTGAGTGTAAACAGAAGGGGTAGGGGAACCCATGGGGGTGGGGGAAGGAGAGGCGTTTCCCATTGCACGGGGGCCTTGCACTCAAGGACATCTCTAGAGGGTCTGCAGGACTGGACCTTGTGCCCAGGTTTCTGCAAGGTACTCAGGACTCTAGGCTCAAACCCAGGGGTCCCTGTCCTCAGCCTCATCCTTGTGCTAGAAAAGGAATTCAGGATCTCCATGGCTCCTGGCCATAGGCTGTCTGTCCTGTCATCACATACCTTGTCAGAGACTCAATGAGAGACGACTGCATGATGTTAAAAATGATTCTGCCAGGTAAAGATTCTTCACTGACTTACCTCAGACTTTCTGTGGGAAAGGAAAAATGAAAGAGAAACCAAATAGCTTTTGCTTTTCTGGAAACCCCAATAAACTAGGTTCTTAGCTGTCATCTGCTTCCTGAGACATAATAAGAACTTTAAAATAAAGTCAGTAAGTGTTTCCCCTAGTTAGATTGCATCATTAGCAAAACCAAGACTGAAGACCCAGCGGTGTCTTCCCAGGAAGACAGAATGAAGACTGGCGCCTCCTGGTGTTACCTGTTTCTGAAGCTGTGAGTGGTTTCTCTGGCTTCAGGTCAGGTGGCAGTAAAGATATTTCTATACCTGAGTCTCCACGGAGCTTAAGAGGGTACTGTCACCTAGTCGTCCTGGCTTCTCAGTTAGGAAGGCTCCTGTGATCTAAGATTCCTCTGGGTGTAGCCTCTTCAGGTTTAGCACTAAGGCTTAGAAAAGAATTGCCACTTCCTTGTTAAGCTCCGCCCCCAGCTTTTTAACTGAAGGAGGGGCTGAACTTTGCCCATGTAATTTAACTCTAAAAGGAGTTCTATATCCTTTATCAAGCTCTCTCACTGCTCTTTGGGACAGTTTGCTGGGTTTTCCTGAGGGTTCTTTACTTTCTGTATCATCATTTTAACAAATGTTTACTGACCACCCAATATATGACAGGTAATGTACACATATTTAATCTTAACAACATTGAGAGGCAGGTGTTATAACACCTATTTTACAGATGAGGAAACTGAGGCTCGTAGAGGTAAAGTATCTTGCCAGTGGTCCCTATCAGTTGAGCTGAGATCCAAACCGTGGTCTTTCTCGCTTCACACTCTTATCATGTTACCTCTCCTTTGAAATTCAAAGATTGTATTCAAAGGGAACTACTGGAAACTATTTAAAAACTAAAGCTAACTGAGTCATCTAGACACCAAAAAAACTCAATTAAAGACCATATGTTACAATTTTACGTCTAGAATTCCCTCTGTATATGAAAGAAGCAGCAGCCACATATGATTTTATGTTCTATTCAGATTCTTAACTGAACTAGACACTTAATGGTCACGCATGTGATTGTGAAGCCATGAGTGCTGGATGGCTGAAATGTGGAGATGAAGGAATTGTGAATGGTGAAAGAGGAATTAGGCTAATTTCATAAAAGTGAGGGAGAACTGTCTGTTTAGATATTAGGCAAACAGGTCTGTGAGACACGAACAGTAGTTATGGGACAGTTAGTTCTTTGGTGACCAAAGTGGATTTTAGCCAACAAACTAATACTTATTGCACAGAACGTGCACCTGTCTAGTCAACTTAAAGGGTATTAAAGAAATACTAAGAATAGTTTTTCTTTTTTAAAAAACTTACAGTCTTTTTGGGAAGATGAGATATAGTCATTTGAAACAATCCAAGAATCAACAAATGCATAAATCATAAGTAAATCACATAGTGTGGACTACAGCTGTTACTGGCATTCAGTTACCTAAGTTAATGACAATGGAACAATTTAGGATCCAGTGAGGTGTTGGCAAGTTAAGTACAAACCAAGGAAAGGTTGGCACAGAGAGGCAGGCTCACTGAGGACAGAGAATGTCCCCTTTCTGGAACTTTCTCAGCATCCTGGATCTGAATGTCTATTTGTTTCCCCAGACACGGAAGTTTTCAGCCAGTTTCTTTGAGGAAGCTTTCTGCCCCTTTCTCCCCTTCTGGGACTTCTGTCATGAGAGTAGTGGTCCACTTGATGGTGTCCCTTAATTCCCTTAAGCTGTCTTTGCTTTCTTTTATTCTTTTTTCTTCTCTGATTGGATGAGTTCCGTTACCCTGTCTTTGAGGTTGCTGATCCATTCTCTG